TGCTTGCAATGATTCTTGTGCTCGTCTCCTGAAGTATAGATAGGTGTAGCTTGCTCACAGGAGTCAGTGAGTTCCCAGAAGGTGAAATGTATCTCATTTTTATCCCTGGACTGACAGGCTCATACCAGCAGATCGGGAGGCAGATGTGCCCAGAATGTCACTCATGAGAGAGGTGACAGAGCATGTAAAGGGGAGGGGACCCTGGCCAGCCCCTGACAGTCAGTGCTCATGGCGGCCCTGCCAGGCCATGCCTCTCAGGTGGGGTCACAGAGACAGCAAGAAGATACAGTGTGACCAGAGAGGTTGAAGGAGTGAACAGGGTGGGCAGGATGGAGGGGAAATGCCACTGTCCTCTGGAGCTCTTTAGTCCTGAAAGAATCACGCAGGAGGGTGCCGCCATGGGTCCAAGACAAGGTCAGCATCCAAATGTGAACAGGACATTCACTCCAACTTCCCAGCCTCGGCCCCCTCTGCACACCTCCCTCACTCAGGATGGTAGCCCAGATCACTCAGCCCTGCTTGCTGACACTGACTCTGAATCTCCTGAGTCCCCTGATAGCTGGCAAACAGTCAGGGAGCATCTGAGGGCCTCTGTTAACTTTCCTCCCAAATTAATGGGAAAAAAATCAGACAGAAACTCCCCCTAACTTTCAAGCAAAAACTCGAGCCTCCCTGGGTGAGAGGCTCTCACGCTTCTCCGCAGTGTGTGTCTGCCGTGCCAGGTCACTCCCTACTCCTCAGAGAGTGAGAGCAGGGTGGGACCCAGAATCCCACCCAATGCACTCACATGTTCCTCTGTGTCCCTGGACTCCAGCTCTGTAGGAGGGCTCTGGACCCTGCTCTGGAAGGAGCACAGACTCCACCCTGGGTCCCAATAGTCCCCACACCTCGGTCCCCATCTTTGGCCCATTCCAGGTCTTGACCTCCACTTGAACATCACTTCTGTATTCACTTGCTTACTTGCTTGTTGATTGGAAAACCAGTCAGGCAAGATCCCTTGCCAGTCATGCTGATGTCCAGCACAGTGCCTGCCTCATAGTGAATATCTGTTGAATGAATGGAGGAATGAATGAGTGATAATACTAAGCCTATTAGAGAAGAAAGGTTGATGTTTTCTCCCTAGACAGTGGGATGCTTGTTTATGAGACCCTGCTCATCATAGTGCTATATTCATATTCTAAAGAGGCTTGACATTTTTTGCAAGACATGCAAGTTGAATTAAGTAAAATCAGATCAGAGGAAACAGAGCAAGACTCACAGGCATGACTGAATCCCAAGAGGCAGCCTGCACAGGCAGCTCAGTTAAGCAGGCGTGGCCAGAATGTGCCCTGGGAGGCAGGGCAGGGAATTTGAAACTTTCAGGCCAGAACAGAGTAGACTTTCTTAGAAAAAGCCAGCCTAGGAGTCAAGGGAAACAATTCCAGTCCTACTCTACTTAAAGGGATGTAGCCCTGGCTAAGTCACCACTTTTCTCTGCAGTTTCATTGCCTCATATAAAATTAGAGTACAACAGGCCAGATTTTTTTTTGTAAGATTGCTTCTGGCTTAAATATTCCATAGTGCAAAGCTTGACATTAGAAAATAAGTGCTGAGTAAAAGGGATGGTAGTGAGTATATTGGTCTGTCTGAGGGCCTCCTGCCCAGGGCTGATTTGCCCTGAACTGGGCTGCACCGCCCCCTCCTGTGAGTGCTACTATGGACACACAGAGGTTATACCAGGCCAGTGCTTCTGTATAGCCAGTAGAATACCACATGAAGAGGGCAGGTGAGGTGCACCATCCAGCAGCCTGTGAAACCTCAAATCTAGAAAAACCTGCAAGAAACTTGTGCATCCCCTGGCCCCTGCCAACAACTCAGGGAAAATGCACTTCCCAGAGTTCCAGACAGAATTTCCAGTGTGGTATCTTCTTCCTCCTCCCTGGAAACAGAGTACCAGGTCCCACAGCCATGTAGAATAGTCTGATCTCCATGAGGTGGGGAAGAAAGTTACATAGTCTCTGTAATGCCAGTGTGGAATCCTCTCCCCAAATCAGGGGTTGACACTTGCCATAAATACAGGTTGAATGGAGTACAACCAAATCAGAGGAGATGAAGCAGGGCTTCACAGGCAGAGCTAGATACTCAGGAGACAGCCATCTGTATGACAGATAAACTCATGTGACAGGTGTACAGCTGTCTAGTGAAGGTAGACTTTTACATCTTTAAAGGATCATATGTTAAATGGTTGTACAGTAAAATGCCTTCATAATACCTTTAATTTTGCCTCTTGCACTACAAACCCTAAAATATTCACTAGTTGGTGGTTTTCATACATTTTGCCATCTCCTCCCCTGAACAACTGCAGAGTCCCCTCCTTCTCAGTAAGACTGAGCTCCCACTGTGGTCGCTGGCAGTGAAACCTCAGCTCTACCTTGAAGGTGGTGATGGGGGCTGAGTATCGATTCTTCCCTGTAGCAGAGCTCTCATTGCCCTCCCCAGACGCCTGCCTCTGCCCGGGCACCCTGCCGGTGAGCAGCCCTCCCTCGCTCCCCTACTCACTCCTGCTCCTTGACGAGAGGTGGCAGAGGCCCTTCAAAGTTCTTGGTCACAGTTTTCCCCCATCGACTTTCATATGCTTTCCACTGAGGGCTTCCCCGGGAGATAGGAGCTATTCAAGGACAAGGACCACATCTTGACATTGTTCTAGTACCCCCACACCACATCCAGGGGGCAAGTGGGCTCGGTGGACATGGGATGCAGAGGTCAAATAAGAGAGAGCACTTGACCCTCGACCAGGGTCAGGCTGGGCTGTGCACAAATCTACCATTTCTAGAGGAGACTTGGAGCAAAGTGTCCCTGCCCCAAAAGAAACATGAGAATCTTCTGTCATTCACTTAGAATAATGCAAATTCAACTGTGTAGGAAAATTCCTCAAGGGCCAGGACCCCCCTCCAGGGAGTGCCCCCCCGCAGGATGAACCAAAGGGCTCTGCTTTTAAAGAAAGATGTTTTTCATGTACTGAAATTGCTTAGGGTTCAGTGAATATGGGCTTATGAGCAAGAAAACGGTGAATTCTGAAAGACAGGGGGCAAATGCTTTGCTGTCCTCACATAGTGAAGGACACCCAGGGGAAGCAGCCCTGCTTTCTGTGACCGGGTTGCTGAAGCTGAGAGATTATTTATCCAGAGAGGATTTCCTGCCCGGAGAGCTGAGAAGGAGCTTGGCTGAGGCCACTTGATTTAATCTCCTCAGGAAGGTAAAAGCTGTGGGGAATCAATGGCAAGAGAGAAGCGGGCAGTGGGAGGCCGCAACAGTGGGAAAAGCCGTGGCAGTCAGAGCTCTCTTCTGCTCATTACATGCAAAGGCACACCGTGTTGGCTGGAGGGAGAGAGTGCAGTGATTTCCACAGTTGCAGCAACAGGTGCACAGAGAATACAGAGAGATTGCAACACCGAACTGTCTGTGAGTGATCGGGGCAGGTCCCATGCCATTGGCCAGGAGGGAGACTGCAACAGAAGACTGGCATGCTGGACCCCAGGTTCCCTCTGGAGCCACCCTGATCCCTTTGTAAACCTGCTCTAAGACATCCCCTCCCTCACACAAAATTGGGAGCCCCACGTTCTCATTTCCTCCATTCTCTGAACATGTGCATAAACATGTGTGTAAAATGTACCTCTTCATGGTCTAAAGATTCCATCCATTCAAACAGAATTGGGCTAACCCATTTTGAGGCATCTGGTCACATTTAAAAGTTGGGTGCTACTCACTCTGCCTTGCTGAAGCCTGAAAAAATAGCCCTGCAGGCTGAAAGTGGCGACATTGGCTTTGTTCTGGTGGGAAGGTGGAATTACTCCCAACCCTGAACACTAGGTCCACACTAAACACAAGCTTTAAAGGCATAGGGGGCTGGAAGTAAGACTGTGGTGTTGAGCTTTGGCAAGATGCCCTGCTTTTAGGCAAATTGTAAATTATAAATACAGTGTCTCTGTTCTCCTTCCCCCACGCTAGGATGTAATGAAAAACAACACTGGCCCTGCCTGCCCAGTTCTCCTGTTTCCTCCTCAGATTGGCTGTTAACAGTTCCTGACTGGAAATAACTTCAGGCATTCAGACACCCACTTGTCTGATTGTGTCCTCTTTAAATCCGCAATTCCTAGACATGGATGTAGTGGATCCTTCCTCACCCATAAGGAGACCCCCAACACACCTGAGAACTAACTTTTAGGACTGAGTTATCCTGCAGGAGGTGTGATGATGGACTAGCAGCTCTCCCTGCTGAGGCTGTAAAACAGCCTGGGTTTTGATTATTTAGCAGGAAAAGCAGCAAGAGGAATCCTCAGAGCTAATCCTAGAGAGAAATGCAGCCAGTGTTGTACCTACTGTAAGGGTTTGCCACAACCATGCAGTACAAAGGGAACATAGGGACTCGTTCTGAGTTCAGGGATTACTGGGGTGAGGTCATAGTCTGTCAAATCCGCCTTTAATGGCAATCAGCAAATCCTCCCTTCAGCCTCCCTGCCACCTTCCAGGCATTGCTCTCTCCTCTGCTGCCATGCCCCGGGCATGGAGCACCAGGCAGGACTTTCACACAGGGCTTCATCCCTGTGATAATCAGGCTTGTTTCAGAGAGTTGGGAAGAGCTGATGTATGAGAAGGACTAGAATCTGCAGGAAAGGAGACTAGAAATCAAGCCCTGGGGAATGGCAGTGGGACTATGGGTGGGTGCCAGGGTTCCTTACCCTTTTCCTGTTTGCCGCTCCACATTCCACACTGACCCAGTGTCTAATAGCACAAGTCCAACAGTGTGCCACAGGAGGTCTGTGCCACACAGCCTAAGGCCAACAGAACCCACCCACCATCCCCCAGCAGCTCAGAGAGACGTTGCTGAGCAAATCATGAGCTTCCCAAGCTTTCTGCCTCAGACAAAACATTTGCTCTTACTTCAAAACCAGAAATACCAAGTAACAGATTATTATTTAAAATTTCAAAATCAAAATATTATCTGTTAGAAAAACTAACACTTGCCTTAGCCAAGTCAAATTTTATTTCTTGGGATTAAAAATAAAGAGAATGAATTATCAGAAGTCTTCCTACAACATCTGTAAAATGCTTACTGAAGAAAGTTAAGAGAATTGTTAAAGGCGCACAGAAAAGTCAGATTTGCCTTTCTTCTGGACCATTCCTTACCTAGCTGCAAAGCACCAATGTCACATCCCCAAAAAGAGAGGTTTGGAGCCACAGAAACCAGAGCAGCTTTGCTTCGATCTGGGGCTCTTAGTATCCCAGGAAAACATCACAACAGCTCGGTCATCCATAAATTCAATAATTCAATATATATCTTGAGAATATATACAAATACTTTCTCTCTGAACTACAGTACAAAAATCTACTCACTGGCCATAAAAATAATATTTTCCCCCTATACACAAATATAACCATATGTAAAGCAAATTAGGAACACATGGAGGGGGAGGGCTACAAAATCCCTCGGGATGTGGGCTATTTAAAGTCATTTCTGTTTGGGTTATCCCTCTGCTGGGTATAGGAAACTCACTACAAATACATCCATCTCATGGTGCTTGCCATTTCAACAGCTCCTGCGTCATGGAATGTGGTACTTTTTAAAAATAGGCAACCCTTAGTGTCATGGAAAGAAGAGGAGAAGTGAGGGGCTGTAGGGAGGGAGGACAGAAGGAGAGAGGCAGACTTCAGTGACAAGGCGGGCTTGGAATACTCAGCGGTGTCACGCGAATCCCCAGGCTCAGGAGGTCACCCCAGCTCCCACCCTACTGCTACCGGTCTGCCTGGCACTCCTTTCACAAGTCTGTTTCCCGGCTGCTGTCCAGGCAGAGTGCATACAGGGACCTCCGTAAATCCACATTGCTCTTGGCCTTGAGGTTACACTTCTCCAAGGGGCAGCTGGCCCTGCGGGTACTGTCTGAGCTCTCCAGGGATCCCCCAGGCTTGCACAGAGAAGCCTTGCTCCAGCTGGCCTTGCGCTGGCCTCCAGCGTCTGGTCCAGACCCCCGGCTCTGGCTGCCTTGTTCTTCCTTCAGGGCCACCTGCACCTCCTGCTCGGTCTCCCGGTGGTAGAAGTAGTTGAAGTTGGAGACTATGACCGGGACGGGCAGGGCAATGGTGAGGACCCCGGCGATGGCACACAGCGAGCCCACAATCTTGCCCCCCACGGTGATGGGCCTCATGTCCCCATAGCCTACGGTGGTCATGGTCACCACCGCCCACCAGAAGGCATCCGGGATGCTGGAGAAGTGAGTCCCCTTGTTGTCAGCCTCAGCAAAGTAGACGGCGCTGGAAAAGAGGATGACTCCGATGAAGAGGAAGAAGATGAGCAGCCCCAGCTCCCTCATGGAGGCCTGCAAGGTCTTGCCCAGGATCTGCAGCCCCTTGGAGTGGCGGGAGAGCTTGAAGATGCGGAACACCCGGACCAGGCGGATCACCCTGAGGATGGCCAGGGACATGGCCTGCTGCCCGTTCTGGCCACCGCCTAATCCACCCCCTGGCTCTTGCTCGGCCAGCTCCGTGCCCAGGGTGATGAAGTAGGGGAAGATGGCCACGATGTCGATGATGTTCATGATGTTCCGCGAGAACTCGGCCTTGCTGGGGCAGGCGAAGAAGCGCACAAGCAGCTCAAAGGTGAACCAGATGACACACGTAGTCTCGACAATGAAAAAAGGGTCTGCCAGGGTCCTGGGCAGGAGGGATGCCACGGTGGGGCCGTTGAGCGGTGCCGTGGCCCAGCTACCGTTGACCCCCGGGGCGGGCACAGGAAGCTGGTGGGGAACCGGGGTCTGGCGGAGCAGTTCTCGTTCATCCCGGAACTCGGGCAGCGTCTCCAGGCAGAAGGTGACGATGGAGATGAGGATGACCAGCACGGAGACGATGGCGATGGCGCGTGCGGACCCTGAGCTCTCCGGGTACTCGAAGATGAGCCACACCTGGCGCTGGAACTCATTTCGGGGCAGCGGTTTCTCTTCTTCTTTAAGGAAGCCCTCATCCTCCCGGAAGCGCTCCAAGGCCTCTTCCCCCAGCTGGTAGAAGCGGATCTCATCCACGAACACGTCCATGGAGACATTGACCGGCCTGCGCAGGCGGCCCCCGGACTGGTAGTAGTAGAGGATGGCGTCGAAGCTGGGCCGGTGGCGGTCGAAGAAATACTCGTTGCGGAGCGGGTCGAAGTAGCGCAGGCGCTTGGCTGGGTCCCCAAGGAGTGTGTTGGGGAACTGAGCCAGGGTGCCCAGCTGCGTCTCGAAGCGCAGCCCGGAGATGTTGATGAGGACGCGCTGGTGATGCAGGGCTCCCGCGTCCAGGGTCTGGTCTTCCGGCACGCCTGGGCCGGGGTCTCCCTCTCCGTCCTCGTCCTGACCCTCTGGAGACCGCCGTGGAGGCTGTGGCAGCTCCGGGAGCAGCGGAGGAAGCGGAGGCAGTGGCTGCGCGCCTGGGTCCGCTCCCCTCTCCGCGCCGCTGGCCCTGGACTCCGGGGGCGAATCGCCCAGAACCGCCGTCGGAGGGCACAAGAGCGCTCCCGCTGCGGTCAGCCCGCAACCTGCCTGGGCCTCGTCTGCTTCTGGCAAGGTCATGGCCCCGCCGTTCTCCAGGGGCACCAGGGCGATCTCCATGGCCCGGGGGCAGGGCGCATGCTGAGCCCCGCGGGCTCGGCGCCCCACTCAGTCCTCTCCTCTCCCGCCGCCGCAGGTCTGTGTCGGACGGGCAGTGGCTGCTGGCACGCTGGGTCCTGACGTCAGGCTGCTGCCGCCTCGCTCTCTGCCTCTCTTGGTTCTAGAAGCCGTTACCAAGCAGCCAAAAAGCCTCCTTCCCGCGGATGCAACCTTTAGCTGCCCCTCTCTCCAGCGCCGCGCGGCCTCCGCCCACCGCGCCTCGGTCTCCGCCTCCTCCAGCTTCCCCGCACTGCCTGCGCGGGTGTCACCCAGGAGGGCACAGCTGGCGCCCAGGACCCAGGACAGGAGAGGCCCAGAAGGTTGTGGTCCAGCGGCAGGAGGGAGGGAACCGCGAGGAGGGAGGAACAGGTTGTACCAGGCGCGCTGAAACTCCCAGGGCAACCAGAGGAGAATGGGGCTGGATTTCAGATCACCTGGGAATCCGCTGAAAGCCACGGACTCCAGGGAAAACAAATCGCCTGCGGAGGAACGGACGAGGCTTTGAGCTGAGTCAGAGTATGCAAGGCACTAACAACAGCCCTTTGAACATTTTTTTTTCTTTGGAGAGATAAGGATATCCCTGCTTTGGAAAGAATTACCAGGGGCGGGGGCGGCACGAGGGATCGATGGATTAATTTGTCATTTGTAGAAAAATGGATGGATCTTGAGATCCTAATACTAAGTGAAATAAATCAGACACAGCATTATATATCAATCCTGTCTCTAGTATGAGAAACCTAAAATATAAACAAAGAGCAAATTAAAAGAGAGATGGTAGGACACAGGGAGGTGGATTCTGTGGCGATGGAAAGGAGTCTGGGGAGAGAGAGACGGGGAAGATAGCAAGGGGAAAAGGGGGGAGATTCATTATGTGCGTGTACCAGTTCCCCAAGATGAAGGTAAGTACGTGTCACAAACATATACTAATAAAAATGTTACAACTATATTTTGTAACCTAATGTTGCTATAAAGAAAAATATATTTATCCTATATAGAAAAGAACTGTATATGCACGGAAAGAGAAAGAAGAGAGAGATGGAGAGAACGAGAGAAGCATCTTCTTCCTATCTTTCTACAAACCCTGCAGAAGTTACAGGGCTGAAACTCTGCAGCAAACCCCCTGCCCCTGGCCTGGGAAAATCCCTATTCCCAGCCAGGGGCAGAGTCAGCCATGCAGACCCAGCCAGGGGCAGCTCCAGCAAAGCCCCTGGAGATGCACTGTCCGGTCTTATAACCCCAGACACACCACGCCTAAGCCCTACCCACCAAATTCCATTTGCAAAAAACCCTAACAGGGAAGGGGAGCTGGCGGCAGCACGGAGGTTTGTGTACAGAGCTGGGGTGGAGGGGTGGTTTATGGAAGGGGTTTACTCAGCTCTTAGTGTGTACCAGCCCATTCCCAGTGCTTTCCAAATGTTGACTTGTGTATTCCTACCGCAACCTATTTTACAGGTGCTGTTATTACCGCCATTTTATAAAGAGGAAACTAAGGCAAATTGACTACTTTGTCTCAGGTCATACTGGGAGAAAGGACCAAAGCTGGGGTTCAAACCAAGCTCTTGGTGAGGGCTTTGCTCCCTAACACTCCTCCCTACTGTAGAAATGCTCAGCCCCCTCTCCAGAGGTACGCACCAGCTCCTTCACCCCAGTGTCAAGCCTGAGAGCATCAAGTTCCTACTGCAGGAGCTGAGAGAACATACTGCTTTTCTGGGCCCAGAAAGGTGGATATCTGCCCCTGCCCCTGCCCCTGCCCCTGCCCCTGCCCCTGCCCTTGCTCTGGCAGAATTTTGGAGGGTATCGGTAACAAGGGAAATAGCTTTTAAGGCATGTCTGACAGTCCCAGACACAACTCCAAGTGTTTCTTAGTTTTAAATCACCATAAAGTAGCTGTATTTTTGAAAGTCTGATAGTATTGTCTATTTTTGTCCCTCTATATTGCTTGGGATTTACATATGTGGAGTTACAGTCTTTCATCTATGAAGGGACCTACGCATGGGTGATGAGTGAGGTGCTTAGCCCCGGGTGCACAGTCATTTGTTGGAATAGCCATGTGTAGACATATGAGCACGTGTCGGGGTTTGGGAAGTGTATGCATGCCGCTTCTAAAGGGTATGCACGTAGGGCTACTGTGAACCAAGTGCCCGTAAATGTTTTTATCCTGTGTCTCTGTGATGTGGCTGGCAGTCTGGCAGAGTGAGGGAGGGGCAAGAATGTTAAAGTCAGTTTGGAGAGTCATCGCTGGCTATCTTCAGGGATTTATATTCCTCCTCAGCACTCTTGCTTGCCATCTCTGCTCCATTCCTATCACACTTTGTTTTTGGTTTGGTTTTGTTTTGGATTGGTTTGGTTTGGCTTTTGCACACTGGGGATAGAACTTAGGGGTTCGTGCCTGCTGGGCAGCTGCTCTCCACTGAGTCCCACCCCAAGTCCTTTTATCCTTTGGTAGCACTGAGATTCTCCTCAGGATCAGTTTATCCCTGCGGAGCTTGCAGAGGGTTGGATCAGAGACCCATGGTCACTGCACCTTGTTTAGTGGTACAGGGACCTTGCACTGCAAGGTGGTGCTGTATTAGCTCACATGGGCTCTCCTTGGGCTCCCCAGGGGAAAGAGTCCTCTGCAGCTTGTCTTCTAGGAACCCTTGGGAAGACGGCTCCCTGGAGAACAAAAACATAATATAAACAGTCCTTGAAAAGCACAGATACCAGACCTTTTAAAATGTGCTATTTCCTTAAATCTGCTTCCTGAGTGTGTGCTCTCCCAGGTTTCTTACAAAATTACCTTCAGACGTCACATGTGGCAGTCACGGAGGTAAACTGCTCAGATCTCCCTTAAACAAAGAAGCTGGCTCGAAGCTCCAAGAGTGCCCTTATCTGACAGCCTCAGCCGACTCCAGCTTTGGGCTCCACCTCCCCTTTCCTGCGCAGAAGTCCCCTGGAGGTCCTGCTTGCAGCCTGCCCAGCCCTTCTTCCCTCTTTCCTTTCACAAGTGTCAGATCAGTACTGTGCTCTGAATGCTTTCTTGAAAGAGTTTTGCTTTCTTTCCCTTTTATGTGTCTTTTATTGTCTTCTAATAAACCTCCTGTATCCTAAATCCATCTGGGTCTTCTTCCCAGAGGACATGGCACATAGCTGAGCCCTGCCGTCTTCTCTACGCATCTAGCCCTATGCTCCTTTGACGTAGTGCCTACCTGAGTGCCATCACTCAGAGATGCTATGAAAATGAGGATCTGATTTGACTTCTGTCTTAGATCTCATTTTCTGATTTGACTTGAGTCTTAGATCTCATTTCTGAGTAGCACACTCTTCTCAGACAAGGTCCACCTGGTTTCTTTCAGGGAGTTATTTGCAATACCTGTGTAGGCCCCCAGACTGAGACACACAGAGAACAGTTGAGGGGTCTTCTCTCAGTGCATAGGATTGGTCCTGACTGAGCACAGGAGGACTTAGAAAGAGTGTGGAAGCAATGAAGAAGAGAGAAGCTCTAAGGAAGGGAAAAGGGGTAGAGGAGGACAAGGAGGAAGAATTCTAAATGCTAGCTTTATTGACCCACTCAGAAATATTTGTTGAGTACAGAAGGGCAGTATACTGCTCCAGGGTACTAGTAATGTATTGATGACCAGGACAGGTATATTTCTTAACCTCTTGGTGCTACATCCTAGGGAAAGCCAAAGGAACTGAGCATCTAGTTTTATACTAATTTTAACGACAATTTTCAGAGTATAAGGCATTGAAAAAAGTGGGGAATCTGGCTCCATCTAGAATGCAGGCAAGCTTTCCTGAGTGATGACGGGGAAGACAAACTATTTCAGCTAAAAGGAAGAGTCTGATCCAGGGCAAAGGAGGAAAAGACGGGGCTGGTGCAAAGAACAGAGTTCATGGAGTTGGCACACAGCCCTGAGGGAGAGTTGAGTGAAACTGGTCCAGAGAGGGGAATAAAAGCTGCATTGGGAAGAGCTTGCTGGGATCATGCTCCATGGTCTCCCAGCAAGCTGTGACCACTGCAACTTCCTTCAGTGCTCATTCACTTTGTGTGTCTCCTAAAGCAAATGCACCAACACACTTCTCTTTGAGCTTTTTGTTGCTTGTTTCAGTCCCTTCTCTCTTCCATTTCCATCAGAATGTATCTTTGTCTTTATCTTTATGGTGTACATGTGCATCTAGTTATATATTCCATCTAGAATGGATCTACCGCACTATTTATCTCTCAACAATCTGTTGATCTACGTACTTGCCTACATATCATCTATTTATGCACTGACGGGGAGATGCGTACATAGATTATAGATACAGAGAGAGTGAGAGAGAGACAGAGAAAAATCTTGAAATCAGGAATCATTTTTTATTCATCCCTCATTTTTCATACAGCACTAAACATGTTTCCAGGTACACATGAGTCCCTTTCTCTGTCTGTCTGTCTGTCCCCAACCCTTGAAATTGAACCCAGGGCCTTTAGAGTGAGCTATATCTTCAGCCCTCCTTGTATTTTATTTTGAGACAGGATCTCACTAAGTTGCCCAAGTGTGATTAAAACTTGTGATCCTCCTGCCTCGACCTCCCACAGTGCTGGGACTATAGGCATTGTGGTCACCATATCAGGCTCACATTACACATCTCAGTAAAGATGTGGAGAATGCAATTAAACCAAGACAAAGGAATTCCACTCCTGGGACAGAAAGAAGGGGAAACTGAGAGATAGGAACAAAAGATATTTTCTGAAACACACTAAATACTCAAAGTGAAGATGATGCCTAAGCAGAAAACTTTAACACTCCTTTGGATAATCAAATGGGATAAGTGGTGCAATAAATTTGCTCCATCCCTTTGTTTAGGTTAAACATCACTGCAAAATCTATGACTGCACAACCTATGACTGTACAACCATATCAACCTTGTGGATAAAAACAACAAATTAGTATATTGGACTGTGCAATTTAATTCCTACTGCTGGAGACCTACAGTTGCTGTAGCTCTGTTAATCAGGTAAGAGTGAACCAAGAACATGGAGATGGCTGAATTTTCACCCAGGGCTGAGGTGAAGATTCTGCCACTGGATAAAACCCAAGGAGACAGGAAGAAGCAAACTTACAAGTTGATTCTAATTGTGCCACAGCCTTACATGGCAAACATGGAGTTTGGTCTTGCATGATGGAGGGGGCGACACACATGGGCTGCCCCCAGAAATGCTACCCAGGATCCTGGCAGTAGCCCATCCTGGCAATGTAATGGTACTAACCAGGCAGTCTGTTTGAGAGGATGAAGAGCTGCTGTTTTGTGGAGCTCATCTCTAAGGTATCACCAGGAAGCTAGTGGGACCCCATCAGGTGCAACTGAGTGATGTTTTATTTTATAAGAGAAGTGCACCCTGTGCTGTATTTCC